ACTGTATTTCACCACTGAGGGTGGTGATACATGGGAACAGGTTGCCTAATGAGGCTATGAATGCCCCTTTCCTGGAGACATTCAAGGCCAGGCTGGATGAGGCTTTGAGCAGCCTGGTCTGGAGGGAGGTATCCATACCTATAGTAGGGGTGTTGGAACTAGGTGATCTTAAAGGTCCCTTCCAACCCAAACCATTCTGTGATTCTGTGATTCTATGATTCTGTGAGGCTTGACCTAATCCTGCTGATCGTATTGTAATCAGACAGTAATTAACGTTAAGAGCACATTCTTAAATCTTTGAGTCTCTTCTCTAATAACTTTCAAATGTTGCTGTTGACAGTCGTCTCGATGGGTACGCTATAGGTCAAAATAATCCTCTAGCTGAAAACCATGCGCAATGTTTTAAAGATAAACTTTCCAAGGTAGATTCTGAGTTTCTAAGGCATAGTTAATTTTCCTGATTTCAGTGTGATTGCTCCTTACCTACAGCAATCTAAGAGAGATGAGACTCGAGTTATGATTAAGGGCATTAAGAATTTTGAAATCATGTTATAGAAATAATTGCGAAGAAGAAACATGTTTTTCTGACATTGTTGGGATGAGCTCATTGTGAGACAAATGTGGGCAGCATAAATCAGAGGTGATTTTCATATGTTAAAATCACTAGGTCTGTATTTTTCTGAGAAAACACAAGGAGTAGTAACCAATTCCATAGTTCACTGTTACTTGACTGTAACAAATTCTCTTTGAACTGATTAATCACATATTGACTATACCTAGTAATTACCTACTGTTTCATTCTAATGTATATTGCAACTTTAAAGTTCAGTTGACCCTGGAGGAAATTAAGTGCTATCGTGGCTTTTCCAAGGGAAAACTAAAGATGGGGTAGGACATTTTGACATTTCCTTTCATGATGGCCCAGAGCTACAATTAATAAAAGTTCCTGGCTTCCTGAATTATGGCCATTCCCTTAAAATAATGATGCTTCCTCTGTAGGTCACATTGTGTATATCCTTCAAACTGATGTATCAAGGAAAGTGGAAAAATGTGAACAAATGTTCTCATAAAAGATTCTTTTTTATTATTCGAGCTTTTATTTCAACATTGATAATGTCTGGAACACAGAACTCTGAGTCTTCCTTTCTTTAATGTGGTACTTACTCAGCTTTGACATTGTGCTTTAGCGCACAGGAGAAAGACCGGTTCTCTGTGGCATAAAGATTGCATCTCTATTAGTATTTGTTCTTGTTAGATAATAGTTCTGAAAAAAGGCTAAGCAGGATTCTATGATGTAAGTAGGGAAGTTTCATGTTGAAGGACAATGTATGTAAGCCAAATCAGTTTTCTCTACTTGTAAACATTTGATAGAAAAACTTGTTGCTGTCTCCTTGGGTGTTTTCAGCACACATGGATTTGGAAGTTGTAGATACATAAAAAATACGTTCTCAGCTAGCAGAAGCCTTTAAAAACACTTTCCCCAAAGTCTGTTTAAGAGACTTCTCGGTTACTCACTGGATTTCATGAACTGAATACCTCGATTGTCGTTCATGAAATTAGTCAGGCACAAAGTAAACTGCAAGAGATTCATAATTCCTGGAGATCTGATTATATATATTAAAGGATAGAAAATTATATTTGATGATCTTTTTAAAATAAGTACTGATATTACTTTGATTCATCTGTATGTGTCTGATGCAATATAATAATCTATGTTGTCTTGACAAAACATCTAGTGGTTAATAAATTCATCCACCTTTTTTGAAAATTGGATAATACCCGGTTTACTATCAGCAGTGTCTTACAGTCATTTGGCTAGTACCAAATATATATGGGGTTCTTGTGTATTTCATTCTGTAAATCTCATTTTAGAAGAAAGCCACAGCTTCCTTTCGGTTGAAAACAGACAAATCAGTCATTGGCATAAATGACTGCTAGTCAACTGAGTACAATGAATCTCTATACACTTCTCTCAGTAGTGAACTTTGTTCTCAGTACTCCATTTTCCACACCTCATTATGAAGTGTGATTTAGTACTTACAACATCTGAACTGAGTAGTTTTTCATGAACAGTATTGTTGCTGTTATTTTATGTTGCATTCATAGCATTATTTTTTTCTATTTCAGCTTGTCCCACTGAAATAACCTCGCACAAAAATGAAAAACTTTAAAATAAACCTAAGATAGACAGAAATAATATTATCTAGACAAGTAGCATGGAATGTGTTTTTTGTCTGACACTAAATTTTGTTATGAAGTAGGAACAAACTGTCTTTGCCAACATTGTGTTATTAGATGGTATTTCAGAGTAATTTCTTTGAGAGATAAAAACATCAGAGTTTGAAAGTACAGTGTCCTTTCTTTGGAGAGTTCAAGCATCCACTCTTTGGAGAATCATCTTACATATGAATCTAGGCCAAAATGGTTGATTTCTTTGTGTAAAATGATGTGAAGTTTCCAACTATTAATCTTTTTGTCTCTAGTTTGAGTAACTTCCTCTTCGAGTACGTGTTTCTGAAACTTTTTTTTCTCACATACACCAAGCTGACAGGGTTTGCTTTCTCATATTTCACTTGCTGTAACAAATCATTTACCCTTTCCCATGTGGCAGTAATATTTATATGATAGTGTGCCTCTATACATTGTTTTTTGGGCGATATGATGAATGGCATAAGAGGCTATGGAAAGGAAGGGAAATTGAAGGGCTTGGAGATGGAAGCTCCCAGAGTATACTGCAGATGTCCCTGTCTGGTGGTGAGAGAGCAGCAAGCCTAATAGCTCTTGGAGGTGACAAAATACCATTTACCACCCCAAACGGATGGTCAGAGGCATTTGCCCCTCAAGAAGGTTGCTGTTAGGCACAGCCTGCTCACAGAGACAGAGTAGGGCAGAACTGTGCAAGTGGGCTCCATGTATTCCTCTTTGGTCTCATCTAGTAATTTGATTCTTTCTCTGTGTAAAATTTACATGGCTTGAACTGGAAGGTTTCTCATTGGGAAGTTCACGGCAGTAGGGGTACTGTTCTGCAGGGCTCTCTCCACCTTGGTCCAGCCACACACATGCTTCGGGTATTCTTGGCACTGAGTAATGTGGAATCATGCTTACAAATCAGGGGTACTAAGAACCACTTAACAAATCATGGTTTTTTCTTTCGTATACATCTTTCTACTGATCACATTTTATGATAAATCCATTGTAACAAATATCATACTCTTTAAAGCATTGTTTGGTATTGAATGCATTTTGGAGTCTCTTAAAATCAATTCTAAATCCTTCCAAATTTAAACCTAAGTTTATTTTGAGACTTAACATCTACTCTTTTTTAAGAGAAAATGTTCTTTCTACTACTGCAATTTAGAAGTGAAAGATGCAATAAATTTACCAAACATTAAAAAAAAAAAAAAAAAATAGAAAAGTAGGAAAAAAAAGAACTCGGATGTGGTGATAGGGTATTTGAACACTTCTAAGTGTGGTTTTCCTGAAACCTGTGCAAAAATCTTCTGTCTTACATTGATTTTGAGCTGGTTACTATCTTTTTTTAAACAACTTGATCTCTTGAGGTAGAAATTTACCCACTTTACTCAGTAGCCTCATTACTAAGTGAATGCACAAAGAGGAGAACTTGTGTTCTCCAAGGTTGCATAACCTTGGCCAAGTTACGTTTTGAGATATATTACAGTTCTACACTTGAAAGTTGCTGGAAATTGCACATATAACAAGGTAGTGGAATGGAAATCCTTTGTATTAGCAGATTTTCTGTCAGAATAAAATAGTTTTTTTCTGAAATTTCTCAGAAAATGAAAGCATAAAATCCTCTAACTCACTCAAATTGAATTTATAGCATTTCAATTAATTGCAGAAGTCTGATGCTGAAACCAGTTGTTAAATTTCTTTTTATGTTAATTGTAATTGCCATTCATAAGATTGCTTACACAGTGCCCTATCGTTTCAATTTAAATACACATTTTTTGAGATTTAGATTTTGTTAATAGGCTGTGGAACAAATCAACTCTTCCTTTTACTCTCGTTTCTCAAATTATTTCCACTGTTTTTATTGAGCATTAAATACAATTATTTTAAATATCAGTCCTTATTGCATACCTTCCTTCTCTTTAACAGAATCACTAAGTCGTTTTTGTGTGTTTGATTGATTTTTAATTTGATCTTCTTATCCATCTCCTTGTATGTGTACTGGAGGAATACTGATGTACTTCTTGCCCTATGCTGATGTGGCTTTGTTATGCTGTGACTCCAGTTGACTCATTGTGATTACTATTTGTTTTATACAAAAAATACACATATGTTCAGAACAGGTTAGAAGTTCAACAATCTAATTGAAAACTATGTTTTCCTTGCTATATCTCTTCTGTGAAAAAGGTTGTTTCCTTCTGAATAGGCTGGAAGCATCCTTTGAATAATACGTGCATACTCTAATAATACTGCATGTTATAATAAATTTATATGGTGCCCTATGGGTACTACAGTTGGGTTATTGAGCATGTGCCAAGGACAGTTCTGTTCATGTTATCAGTTTGTGGATGACTCCTACTGTAATACAGTAAAGCTAGCCTTAAGGCACCATAGAAAATATTACAGCTTACAGATTTATCGAGTGACTGTAACTAATGACAGGCAATAGACTCTCTTTTAAGACATTTCCTCATTTAAATGAGTCACCAAAAATGTGTCTAGCACTTCCTTTTTGTGCAGCAATCGATGTGGTTGATCTCCGCATTACAGCAGCTTGTCTGCAGTGGCAATTCCCTGACCCTGTGAGATTCAGGAATTCTCAGCAGATACCCAAAATCAACTGGTAGGAAATTAGCTGGAGAATTTCAAAGTGACTCTCCTAACGGAATGTAAAAGCGAATTTCATGTACAGCTACATTACTGCTACCTGGAAAGAGAAATAAAGGTCAACATCAGTGATTCAGCTGAGCCATGCTAAAAGTTTACAGACTTTAAAGAAAAGGTTAATTTTTATTTTCTTTTACCCACAGGTCTACCCACGGATAGCGCCGGCATTTTGGCACTACCTGCGGGTAGAAGTGAGTAGCGGGTATTTGAATACTCCCACATCTTTACTTTATAGCTTACTAGTGCTTACTGACCTCCTAGCTTGTCTATTGTGCAAAAATAGTTAGCTGCCATTCTAGCTGTCATTTTCTGTGAATATAGTCTTGTACTAATTCCATATTATTTTGACTACAGTGTAATTACTAACCTAAGTCACAGAGATGTGATGTGTCTATATGCAAGACTAAGGGCAGAAAAAATGATATCTAAGTCAAGGCCATATCATACATTGTGACTATAGCACAAAATCAAAGTACTGAAATCCATACCTGCACCTTCTTTTATAAACACATTTTACATTCATGAGAAGAATTTGGAGCTTCAGTTTTGCTGTATCATTTTTGTTAAGTTTGTACAACTCAACTTGATATCATTTCTCCCCTCTTTTGTCCCTCAGGAGCATGAGCAGCTCAGCTATTCCTCCACAAGGTCCAAGGCTCCGAGTGTTATCATCACAGGTCTCAAGCCAGCCACCAAGTATATATTTCATATCAGAGTCAGGACGGCAGCAGGATACAGCGGCTATAGCCAGAAGTTTGAATTTGAAACTGGAGATGAAAGTAAGTTTTATTGAAAGGAAAAAAATCAAATACAATAGAAGTAGCATTTAATTCTAGAACAGTCAGACATTGAGAGTTTAAATGGCTGAATCCATTCCATATATTTATCACAGAGTGACCACTGCTGTATTACAAGAAGTAAGCCTTAGTCTCACACTTCTAGATTTATTTATTTTTCTCAAGTAACAAATAGAAATTTCAGTCCACTACTGCAGGTGAAGGAATGTTTATTTCTGCAAGATCCCCTGGTTTGCCATAGATCCATTCTTCGTTTAAAGAATGCCTTCCCTTTAACCTCTGCAATTATCATGTGTGAGGTTTCCATTTCACCTAAGTCCAGCAGCTTCATGCAGGTTCTTAGAACACACTGATGGACTCGTTTCTCTATAGTTTTTAATGCTCTTAGAATATAATAAAAAAGACATTTTTAATATGTATTTCAACCTATAACTTCACTAAATTTGCCAGTGAGAAGCGAAAATCCTACGTTCTTGAAGAATATGAAAAAAGGCTCTTACTTTGAACAATTTTGTATGTTACATACTGCTTGCACCTTCAAAGGAACCATGAACAAGATATTTACAAGCATTTGAGATAAAATGAGTGTAGTAGATGCAGCTCTAAAACACTCATTAATGAAATTGCTTTAATTAACCAATTATGTACACTGTGTTTTTCGTTAGAGTTTTGGAATTCAAGTTACTTAGGCTGAAGTACAGACTCAGTACTAGTACATGTATTTTCAAGAGCACCCATGAGTTTGTGTTTTATTTTTATTGCTTTTTAACTTCTATTTCAAAAATGTTTTAGGGACAGATTTCCAAGTAGTTAATGCCTAATTGGACTTCTAAATTTTTTCTAAGTTGTTAAGCCAGTTGGATTGATAAGGAAAGCACTTGGGTGCTTTCAAGAATTCTAGTAGTACCTGTTTGCATCATACGATGCAAAAAATGCTAGCCTTTAGGCACAATGAGTTATAACTGTTACGAGAAGTAAATGCTATTTAAACCTCCATGAGCCTATGTTATATATGGACAAATTGGACTTACTCTAAAGTCTAAATCTAAATTCTCTAAAGTCCTAATCTAAATTAGGAAGACTATTGCCTGATTTCTGTCATAAGCACTATTGATAAAAATGTCTCAAGGTTGTGAAAGTCCGTGCATGCTTACCAATCTCCTCATCTTCTTATCATTTTCCTTAATGCAACTGCCTTGTCAGGCTGCAATGTGAGCTAGAGTAGTGTGCTAATCCTAATTATTTATTTATGTATTTTTAATAAGAACAAGTAACTAAAAGTTGAGTTAGTTGAGTTGATAAAGTACTATAAACTCGCATCCAGGTAAGCCAGTGTTATCATTGTAGTTGTTACTGTATTCTTTATTCACCCTTCCAAGTAACAAATGTCTGAAGAAGTTCAAATCCCTATAGACTTTCCATAATGCCAAAAGTCAAGGGACTGCATGTATTGGAGCACCTTTAGCTCTAAAATCCTGAGAGAAAAGATAAAAAGTACTAAAGATGATGCTCTGAAAAGCCTAAAAGATAACTTAGAAGCTTGAGTTTTTCTCCAAGTTTACTGGATGCAGAGAAGGACTGATTGGACCACATGGTTCAGTCCTCCATTTTGAGACAGAAGAATGGGTCATAGATTAAAGTAGTTTACACAATGCTATTATGAGTTTCTCTCAGAAAAAGTATCATTTTCTCTCTCTGGGAAATACTGTTGCCCCACCAATATTAATATGAGCTATTGTGTAAAAAAAAGAAACGATTAATACTTCACGTCATGTTTTTTTTTCAAATTTTGATCTCATTTTGAAGAAACATTGGATTTTTGCAATATAAGATGATTTAGTAAATGATGCACTGATTTTAGATGTCTGTCTTCCTGTTGTGTGGGAGCACAAGTTTTCTATAGAAAAAGGTCTGTATTGTAAAAAATATATTTCGGATTTCAACACTTAAACGTTAAGTGCCTTTATGACTTCTAAGTATTCACTGTGAATCTTAATAGTAAAACATGTACATTATATATTTACTGTTTACCAACACTTATTGCTTAGGCTTATTCCTAACTAAAAGTATTTAATTTGTTACAAAATGATATCGTTGAGTGATTGAAAGGAAATATGAACAGAGGAAATGTAGGCTTTGCTTATGATCAACGGAGATGGGGGTAGAGGGAAATTTTGTAGCTGTTTGAAATGGTGCTAGATGAATACCTCTGTTTAATTGAAAGGGTTGTTCAAAGGCCTGTTAGAACTGTAAGTATTACTTCAAATTTAAAAGGAAAAAAATGGGAAGTGTACATGCTGGTAAATATTACTTATTTCAAATGGAAGCAGTTCTCAATGACCAGTCAAATTGTACCTTTATACGTTCCGAATATCTTGCTTCCTCAAAGCAGTGTTTTGGAAGTAGGCCTATTCTAAGCTTTAATGCACTATCAGATTGTTATGGATATTCGTTTGAACTCCTTTTGTAACATTAACAGAACCTCTGTAACTGAAGCTTTTCCAGTCAGCTAATGAAAGCAGACTGAAATGTAACATCTCCCATAAACAGTCTGGACTTACAGTCTTTCAGCGATGGGCAGCTCAGAATATTTAGAGACAGATAGTTCTATCATTTAGTCTTTATACTTTAAAATTTGTCGTGTGCTTATGACCTGATTTTGTTTTTTTAACTTGGATTTCATAATTCTCTTCTGACTTTAAAAGTCATTTTATCCAAACACAGAATCATTGTAGAATTTTGCCATCTTTTCTGAGCTATAGCATCAGAATTGAACCTGATATTGAACTGAGAGGGAGAAGGAAACCTGTTTGTGATACAATAAGCAATCATAACACTACTTACCTCCTATTAATTCAGTTTTATTTATAGATCCAAGCACTTGCTGTTCAAATAGAGGATTGCATTACGCAACTGATTGACAAAACAACAATTCTGTGGATACTCTTGTATTCCAAGATACTGACCTACTTCTAGATGTAGTGATTGAGAAGAGTTGTGCTTAGACTTATTTTGAATGGTCAGTTGAGTGCAAATAAATGATAAGTCAAATTTGCTGGCATGCACCAATCTTACAAAGCAATCCAAATCAAGCTATGTAATAATCTCTTATCATTTACTTCTCTGAGAATGTGCATTTTAGCTGAAGTTTTTCTAGCTTTTTAATATATATTGTTCTTTATTATTCTGAAAAACTCTAAATAATATTAGACCAGGATAGACTGTTACAGCTTCCTCAAACAGTTACCTTTCTGTAAAAGATTGAACAATTTTCTGCTGGTAGGCAGTGCAGTGTTTCCATGCTGTGACTGTCTTTTGCAGGGTTTGTTCTGAATCCAAGGGTGGTTTCCATACCAGACTTCCCATCATCAGGAAAGAAATTTGTATCTGACAGAAAACTTGGCTCATCGTAGAAGGGGCTTAGGGGGCAGACTTCATGGGTGCAGTGTAGGCTACTGCTTCAGCTGAGCAGAGTGTGGCAAAAGTAACCACATTGTGATTTAAAAAAAAATCAATACAGACTCTTAGATGGCTCAACTACATCAGATTAATAATCTTAAAAACAAAACAAGAAATGGAAATTATAATAGAGTAACTCAATATGAGGACTGTAAGACATTAATTGGTCTGAAAAACTCTGTTCTTGTGGAAAAAGTAACTTTAATTTCTTTAATATAGGCGCAGATGGTGATTTTCTTGTACTACCAGATCTGTTAATCCTCATGTTCTTCCTTCTATTCCCGCATCCACAACATTCATCTGTAATTTTTCAGCCTCAAATCAGGCTATTTTGGATTTGTAGTCAGATGTGAGTCAGACTTTGAGATCCATTTTTCCAGAACTCCAGAGGAGAGTCTTCAATCATTGATTCTGACAGGAGTCTCTCCAGTATTGTTTCAAGTGCTTGCCTTGATTCATGACATGTTAGAGAATCTGTCTCTAGGATTTTTAGAAACACATCAAGATGCCAGTGCAAAGTTGAGGGGTTTTTTTTGGGTTTTTTTGTGGTTTTTTTTTTTGTCAGAACACTAACTGTTTTCACAATAGTAATTCCAATTCCTGAATGAAACCAACAAACAAATAGACTGCACTTACCTCCTATTTAAAAACTGCCTTGCTGTATCCATCCCCATGTCTGCTTAGTCCTGCTCTTCATTCAGTAGTAGTCAGTACTGGATACCTCAGGGTGTCTCATTTTAATCTTGAAATGTTTCCTTACTGTGTTTCATATTTTCAGCCATTTGGTCTTCTAATATGAGCTTACCCTGTCTGGTTCCCAGAAGGTCCAGAGTCTTTACTTTTTGTCTTAATTTCCTAAACAAGAGCAATTCCTTGCTCAGATCTTAATTTTTTATCACAGGCTTTCCATTCACCTACTGGTCAGGAAGTTAATGTTGTTGGCAACACTTTGAAAAGAAGCTTTTCAAGTCAATTTATGCAAAGAATTAATGCACACTTACACTAGTAATAGTATTTCATTTCACTTTTAAAAGCCCTTTTAAGCTTTCCATTCCATTGCCTGCTCCTTTTCCCACATACCCTCTGAGACTGGAGACCATCAGCTCACAGGAACTGCAGCGCTTCTGGAAAGGTGAAGGTAACCCTTATTAGACCCTTTATTTTTCTTTCCTATTGTTCTCTAGCTCTGTTGCTTACAGTGCCTTGTAAATCCATCTGACAGTCCGTACTGTCTGTTAGAGCTCCAGTTCTCACCATCCATACTTATCTATCTCACAGCTACTCACTATTATCTGTCTAGCTGTCTTTCTGTTACTACTTTGTCTTTCACACTGCTGGAATGTCTGCTGCCTGATAGATGTCAAACTGAAATAACTCAAGCATGTAGCTGAGAGACAGAGGAGAGCTATCATTAAGGCTTCTAGACCTTTTATACTGAATACACAACCTTCTAAAAGATTTTGGAGACATTTGCTCAAAGAAAAGTGGAAAACAGAACTGGAAGATTCTCTTTTTCTTTTATTGTCTTGTGCTGTGAATAAAATTTATGCGCCATTTCTCACAGTCTTCCAAGTGAGGAAGTGAAGAGGCATCAGATATTTCTCTTCATTCCAGAGAGAAGGGGAAGTGCAGGTCCTCCTCTACGCATTTGGGTGAAGAACCCAGTGAGAAGTTGTAACTGGGACAGAGCTTGAATATAAAGAATAAGTGGCAGGATCAGAACTGATCTCAAAATGAATTTTCTTATTTAGCAAGGAAACTGTACACATTATTGAGCAAGGAATCTGGAATAATGCAATTAGGAACTCTTAAGTGTCATTTTAAGCAAATAACGTACTTCTGAGTAAATCATGAAGAGTAATGTGAGTGAACAGTTTGCATAGATAATATAATTTGGGATAGAATTATGTATGACATGTATGGTAGTTTTACAATCAGTGCACCACTTTGTGTCAGTGGTACCTACGCTATGCTGAAAAGTTCTGACACCCAAACCTTACACTGTACTATCTAGTGATCTGCTGGGTAACTCATAAATCCATCCTTATCTTTGCCTCATGCCACTCGTTTTTAAAAATATGCTTTTGTCAAAATGAACGTGTTGAGCAGATGGGCAGAAGGAATGAAACAAAATGCCATACATAACAGCCACTCACACAGGTTCTAAGCTCCCTCATGAGACATCTCTGGAGCAAAAGCCTGGGAGACAAATCCTTTTGCATCTTGGAACACCAGCAAGGGAACCATAGCAAACACTAACCTTTTTCTTTCCAGTGCTGCTGCAAACAGCTGAAGGTGTACAGAACCAACCTCCCCATTTACACTGCCGCGGGAATGTCACTGCAGACAGGTGTAATGTCATAAATGCAAACAGGAACAGGAGAATAAGGAAAGAGGCAGTCAGTTGGCAGTCATTTTCCCATTGGATCTGCTGGTGGTTTACACATTCCTGTTCCTCGAGAGCTTTCTCAGCTCCTTGCCTGTTATGACAACTGTCAAGTGGAGTGTGTCCCCATAGACCATACAGCCATGTTCATCCCTGTGATCACGGAACTATCAATCCCTGTGCACAGTCAGTGGGTGCTGATTAAGATAATGCACTACAAAGTGTAAAGAAAACAGAAAACTGATTTTAGTTACACAAACTTTGGCCCTGATATCTAATGAATAATATTCTGGGAAAATGACTGTGTGATCCCATGATTAAATGCAGCACTATAACATGTACACACCAAAAGATAAAATAAGTTGCAGAAACTTGCTTGAATTTGCATTCATCGTTGTTTTTTTAACTTAGTTTTTCTGTCTTACATAAACAAGAATACTCTTGAGGAGAAATATGGGGACATATATAAATATGCACAGATGATGGAGAGGAAAAATGACATAAAAAAGCAGGAAATGACAAAAAATGAGTAAAGAATGGACACAACCAAAACAATACCTGTTAAAGCCTTTATTATTTACAACTTTTCCTTAATTAGGACATTTCCTTAATTAGGAGAGAAACTGAAAAATGAGAAAGAACAGAAAGATCAAGGGACATGCAGAATTTCATTTTGGACAGCAAAAATTGTTCAAAAATTGTCATTATTGAGTTTCCAACATTAACATATTCTCCTTGCCTGGAGAGCGTTTTGTAGAACCTGCGTGCAAGGATGCTGTATGCACACACATGTGCCTTTGTAGTTATCTGTGTGTTGTTCACTGCACTGTGCCTTCATTGATTTCTGGAAGGATCACTTCAAGCAAAAATAAGTATTACTATCATTTTGCTCTACCTGTTTCTCTGACAGTTTTTAACAAATCTGCATTTTCCAATCATATTTGTCTGTCATTTCACATTTTTATCTGACAAGTAAATTAAGGTCATCAAGAAGTTTCAGGCTTGAAAGGCCCTCTGTAATCAAGTGGACTGTGGCATCTGTGCCAATACAGTGAAATACATATGCTAGAAACAGAACAAACATTTTTAAGAGTATACAGTCTCAACTGAAAGGTATATCAGTTAGACACAAAAAGAACTAAGTTGGTGGGGAACTTCCGCCCATTCATTTCCTGATAGGAAATGTGTATATTATTAAACTGATAGCTTGTAGTCAGCTTTAAGTAAAACTCCAAGCAGCTTCATCCAGCGGGAACAATTCAGAACAACAGCATTTTTCATTTTAGTATACAGCACAGGGCCTTTTTAGACAATAGGATCAGTTCCTACATTTCCACACAGAACTTGAATTATCTTGAAGCAAGGCCTTGAGTTTTTTTTTTTATTTTAATGGAATGCTGTTGAAGAAAATCTCAGCTAGGGATGCTGAAAGCATCCCTTGCTAAAGTCACTATTTTTGCACTCCTTTTCCTACAAATAAATAAGTAAATAAATAAATAGCTTGTAGTTTGTTCTCTCACTTCCATTACAGAAATGGAAACTGGGAAAGATATAGTCATTGAAAACCTCCCTTACCCGTTACAAGTTCAGACTGACCCTGTCCATCTTTACAACATTTAGCATAACCCTTGCAAGTCTGAAATCATATTCAGTGTTTGAGTTGACAGATATTTGCGTTTTTATTTCTGTGGCACCGTACTATATGCTGAATTTTTTCAACTAAACCTGACACTGTGGAGCATAAGATAATGCAGAGCCATTCCTGCGGTACCACTAGATTCTGTTTTGGAGATTAGCTATTTAGTGAGTATTTGATAAAGGCTTTTGATACATAATTTATTGGAAGATGCGTGCATTTAACTTGTCTAAGGAGAGTTTATGACCACAGATACTGAATGCCTTATAGTTTACTGCCTCTGCATATCTCCATTAAATTATATGGGCAGAAATCTAATGTCAGAAATTTAACAAGTTGGTTTTGCTGAAAATTGGACATAAGTTACTACTACCTTTATTTGTTTCACTTTTATTACAAAGCCAGTTTACAATGCTAACTTCTAAACCTCTCACAAATATTTAGAAGACAAATGTTTTTTCTTGAATACAGCTTTCTATGAGGCTTTAGGCAGTGATGTGTGCATTGTATTGGGCTTCATCAACTGGAAAGTGAGAAACAGCCTGCTGAGCTTTCTTTTTACAGCAGCTAGAAGCTGTAATCATCTGGTGCCCAAAGAAAACTGAAAGAAGATTTTGTTGGGAAGTTTACAAAATCAAAGTTGCTTTCTTAATAAATCTAAAATTTATTTTCTTTTCTACACTTACTTACTGTTGTTCTCAGAGGTAACTGTGATTCTGTGATCCTGTGAAATGTGTATTCTTCTTCTAGAACAATATTGTGTTTCTTATAGAAAAAAAGAAAGTAAAAATTAGGTAAATGTCATATGATGAAAAAATAGAAGTGTAACTGTGTTTACTTTAAGAATAAAAAAGTCACAAAGTGAGAGATATGGTTCTCGTATTGAGTAGTACTTGCACAATGAGGATCATCCTGACTATGAGCAGGTACTTCGTCAAAATAAATATTTAATATTATAATGAAAACATAATAGCTCAAGCCTCTACAGACTATTTCAAATGATCTTTTTTACCTGCTAAATGACCTACAAAAAATAACAGAGAAAAACATGAAGCATAAAAGAATCATTTTTTTCTGTTGCAGTGATGCCAGTCCTCAAAGCATATTAAAGATAGAAGTATAAATCTGTAACAATAAATCTAAATACTAAAAACATAGAAGGGTGTGTCAGGCTACATGTTACATGTGCTTTTTCTGGTTAGGATTCTACTGAATTCCTACATGTGTAATACTGCTGCTGACTTTGTTTTGGATAGTTAGATGCACAGATATTTTTTAATAACAAGCAAGGTTAAGCTAAAACGGCAATACATTTGTTCTAGTTTTATGTCCAAAATCCAGTCATTCTCAGATCTTAGTAAATTGCAAGTGCCTGATGGTGCTGGCTCCTCATTTTAGAAACCTTCAGAAGTATTCCACACTTCTTCATAGCTGGTACACAGCTGAAGGTTTTTCACTTCACAGATGATACATTCTCACATCATGTCTGGTCTAAGCACCAAGAGAACTACTACAGAGTAATTGCAACTTGTGGCTAGTTAAATGTTGTCACTCATTTTGCATGAATCCCAGGTGCTGGAACTTCAACCTCTTTCTTTGTGCCTCTCTTTCAGCTTCTGATATGGCTGCAGAGCAGGGACAGATTCTCGTGATTGCCACTGCTGCTGTTGGTGGATTCACTCTCCTGGTCATCCTCACTTTGTTCTTCCTGATCACTGGGAGGTAATTAAATCTACACTGTTCTCATTTGCTCAGGGTCTGTGTTATCCAAGCCTAAGAATTTATAAAGAATAGCTAAGCAATTTAGCCACATTTTCAGAGTTTCTTTTTTTTAAATAAGTTTCTGACTGTCTTTCCTGCTGATATGGGCAGGAGGAGAACAAAATTTAAAATACAATGCAACTAACATCAGATCTCTGACATTAGAAGACAAAGAAAAGAACACAAAACACAATATTTATTATAAAATCCCTTAACTGTAAATTGCAAAGCTTTGGAGAATGTAACTTTAGGATTTCTGATGTCTTGGGGCTGGCAGTATAGTTTGGTAAAGACACTGTGTGGACAGTTTTTGTGTTTTTTTGCTATATTAAGTTTATAGGCAAAAATATCTTACATAGCTGTGTATGATATGTACACTTGTGCATTTATCAAGAGAGAACATAAATCGAGGAAAACCTTACTCTAGAATATTGGGATGATTTAGCTTCCTGTTTTGTTGATTAACATTTTATTGGAGATACTCTTGTAAATCTACGTTACAACAGCGCTGTAGCAAGTGAATTCACTGATTATTTTTTATAATGTTGGTGATTTTTATTCTTGCAAGTCCATTTTATTCCTTTTAGCACAGTGCTAATTGTCTACCTTTCCTCAATTGGTATGTTGGTCAGAATCAAATAAAGACATTGTGCTAATGGTTTAGAAACTGTTTTGATTTGAGTGGCTTGATGCTGTGCTCAACTGCACGCTGAAAGTTCAAGGGAATGCACAAATTCTTAACAGACTTGCTAAAAATGCAGGTAGTGGTCAGAATCCCAGACCTTGCTGGAGCTCAAGATCACACGTGACACAGAGCATCTGGTTTTTTTGTGTGTGTGACTTTAGGATTTTGTTTCTTTCTACCCGGAAATAATCAGAATTTAAAAGGATAGAGACGGTATGTCCACACTTGCTCTGTAAGACATTAGTGGCACCGCAGTTCTGCTTTGGGTCAAAAAAGCCTTAAAAATTCCTAATATTCTGTAGAGGTATGGGGCTAAGCAGAAGGAGTCGGGCTCATATCTCTTACAGTAAGTTCTGTAGGAGGAACTGTGTAGTCTTTGGGCCATTCATACTCTTTTTGCCTCTCCTTTCTTCATATGCATAAAACTGGTGGAAGAGCCTCCATGTGAGGAGGGTTCTCCATGGAGTTTGCTTTGGGACAGATAAATCTGGGGTTTGGAAGGGGTTTTGCACAATTCTTGGGCCTGTTTAGAGTCTGTCCTTTGGATGAAAGATGTTAAAGTTACTTCTATGAAGGTGCTAATGGTCATTACAGATTGGGTTGATATTAACAGGCAGTGCTGTGCATTCAGATTTGTAAATATTTTTCTGTTGTTTGTATACCATTACCTCTGATTAGGAAAGAAAATGATGTACCAGTGCAGGCATTATGTGAATAATAATAAATCTGGTTAAGTCTAACATTTTATTTAACTGAAGCAACTCACATTGGAACACACTGTAATCTCAATCTTAGAAGCTTATAAAATATTCGTACAATTACTAGAAACATTGACAAACATTACTCTCTTTCAGACAGAAGAGTTATTAAAAAACAGACTTTCAGAAAAAATGATTCTCTGGAATCCTTGAGTGCAATTCCTAAAAGCCCAAGCCAAACTTTTCCCTGATAAAACACTCAGTAAACTCAGGAATGAAAAAAAAAAAAAGGAAATGAGTTTCTTTCTAGGTTTATTCTTCCTGTTTGCTAATGTTAAAGATATCAGAGATTCTCTTAGCTTTCTAACATTTCACTCAATTGAACCATTTCAATTATGTAAGATGTGAATTCATTTTTAAGTACTTCTTAATTAAATGATAAGAATGTACTGCATAGAAGACAGAGCAAGAAAATTTTGAATAAATACTATTTGCTGTAGTACTGGAGACAAATTTCAGCATGAAGAATGGGATTGGTATACTACAGATGTGCTCTTCGCTGTTTAGAATTAGCAATTTGATGAGCTACTGAGTCACAACGCTGCTGATGCTGATTCATAGTGAAGAGGCTGGGTTAAATGAGCACCTACCTGCCTCTGCACTCCACTGAGCGGTTATCTACCAAGAGCAAGCAAGAGACATGGCTCTCCATTGCAGATAGAAAAATGAAAGCAGTAGAGACTTGAAGGTACAATGTAGGCCGTGAGACTGGGGTCTTGGCTAAATTCTGGAAAACAGAGTAGTAAAGCTTACTGTGATTTATCATTACACAAATTATTCCTTTCAAGTGATTTTTCTAGCTAACAGTAGTAGGAGCTGGAACTGGAAGAGTCCACTGCTGGTTCTCACTGGCATTTGTAGTCAAATTCTGGGGCTTTGGATACTAGGGAGAATTTTAAGGGTTTAGAGGGCTATTTCTCTGAATGTTCCTCTGGTCAGACCAAGTGTATTCCAAGTGTAACACTTTGTGTTCAGTATTGTTCTTGGTAATTGGAAACTACTGGTCACAGCAACTGGTGACAACAATGCAGAGATTTCCACAGCAGCTGAAAATACTGTGGTTAGTGTTTCCATACATTAGTGTACGTACAACTTATTGCCAGGTATGTTAGCTTCAGAAGTTTCTGCTCTTCAAGGGTTCATCTCCACAGCATGAATGCATTTGTGAGTGACCTTTTTCAGTCTTTTTCAGTAGTTTGAATGAACCATTGATATGTGGTGAATGTGTTCACTTATTTCTCATAACTCCATGATTACTATTTCACTAGAAATACAATCGATAATTGTAGTTTGTGTTATAAGTTTAGTATGAACACAGGAAAGCTAGTCTGTGCCTGACAGGCTGAACAGAGCTAACAGAAGGAAAAATACCGGTCCTAATGGATACAAAAAAATTATTTTCTTATGAACCCAGTTGAACTCAAAGAACTTATCTTATGAAGAAATTATAAGCTTTTTGACCCACTGGGAATAAGAGTTATTAGTATAAGATTTGGTCTGTGTGAATCAATGTATGCAAACAAGGGTGCAGAAAAATAATATAAGTATCAACATTCTTTCAAGCATGGGAATAAGGTATTGCATCAAACTTTGGTAGTTGTGTTAACTACTAATCATCCACCTGTGATTTATCTTCACTGATATCCAATCTGCTTGTAGTTCTTCAGGTTTGTTTCTCTCCTTAGTGTCAATACCAAATGTCTGTGGATGCAGAATGTAAAGACTTTGGCTTTCATAAAACTGCAGAGAAAACTTAATGTACATTTATTTTATGCATGATATTCATTTTAATAAAAACCTCACTTGCTTTTCTTAAAAGATGCCAGTGGTACATAAAGGCCAAAATGAAATCTGAAGAGAAGAGAAGGGCTCATTTGCAAAATGGAAATTGTAAGTAGTTTAACACTGTGTTACATAAAATATGTATTATATTTTAAATGAAAAGGATTCATGGTTTTCTCTTCATCTTTTGCCCTTGATATTTTAATCTAGCCATTTGCATATTTCCTTATTATCTGCACCATCAAGACGGTTCTTATTTGTGTGCTCTCTAGAACAGTTCACAATGAATTCAGAAAAGGATTCTTTTGTGTTCTATTAATCATATTTGTCAATTTTCCAGGTGAATTTTTGTGAATTCATCACTGGACTGGGCCATGTTGATTATCTGCCTCAAAATTCCACTCCTAGTGACCATGTTCCTTACTTGTATTTAGTTCTCTATTAGTGTCTTTTGGGATCTACACTTCCAGACACACAACAAATAAGACTTCCTTCTCTCTCTTGCTTACTGATCACTACTGTGAAAGAAAAACTCTCATGGGCAGAGTGTTAATTTATTTAGCTAAGTGTAGCTACTTAGTTTAAATTAGTAGTCTGATTGTTTTATGTTGGAGTTGATTAAGAAAAAAAAAAAAGGTTTTATTTATTGTTAGCTTGTAGGAAGGTCTTTGTAGTTTGATTAATTTTTTATTCCTTTTGACAACATCTCTAGAACTATCATGATCGAGACAAAAGCTACATCACAAGAAATAAAATCATTTTTTGTGTGACAAAACTGTATCGAGGCTCCTTCCATATCAAGAAGGGGCACATTATACTATAAAAGATATTTCTTAGATTTGTTTGTCATTTGTTTTCAAATCTGATCAGGAAGAGCAGCAAATAAAAACCTTCCTGCTGCAGAGTTTCATATATGCCTCTGGAGGCCATACCAGAATTTGAGAAAAGCCTCACTAGGTGTCTTTCATGCCAGGACAAATGATGACCCTATTTCACACTGACACAAAGCTTCATCTTATGTGGCCTCTCATTCCTTTGCAGTTATCAAAGCATCAGACTTGAAGGAGCATTTCCCAGATCATGTGTTCCATAGGATAAAGGATAAAGAGGAGCTACTGTGAGTTACTCCAGTAGCTAAAACTGTAGCCAACAATATTCCTTCCTTTACAATGGGGCAATTAGTGCCTCCACCAGAAGTGCCATTTTCATGCTAGTAGCAATTCTTGCCTGACTGTGGGCTATTTATTGATTTGGTATCTGGCGTCTTAACCTGAAACAATTTAGGCAGCTGCAGAGTTTCTACCTGGATCAGTATAAGGATGACCTCTCCTAAACAGGTTGAAGCTTTTTAAAAGAAATTTTGCTGTAAAACTTATTACCAGCTTAGTCATATCCATGTTTTGTTTCCTCTGCTGCGCACAGAGGAGAACCATCTTGTGTTTATCCATCCTATCTCCCTTGGGAAACCTTTATGACTTAGAGGAAGATTTCAGGAACCATGCCCTTTGAAGGGAGTTAGGAAAGGGTCTGTGATCCGGCAGCTGATAACGTGAAATCCCATGATGTTTGGTGTGCTTCACATTTGAATATAGCATGTGTCCTCTCATCAGCATTGGCTCAAATGGGTACTGCAGGTGATTTGATGAAGCCCATCCACATTTGTATGCCCTGAACTAGGTGTCATCTACTGCATTTAGGTGCATCAGATAATGAAGTACTTTGGACTCATCCACTAAGTGATAAGAGGAAAAAGATTACGTAGTACTTAATTCTTTTTGAAGAGGTTCTCTGGACCCAGCTGCAATACCCTGTGAAGTTGATGCACCATCTACATCAATGTCTGTTAATGAATTGAAAGTTTTCCAGAACTTAATCACCACATAGCAGGAGCCAAAAAAAAAATTCCCATCCAGATAGTCCAAAAGAAACAACATAAGTTCTTGGACATGCTACACTCAGAAGCACTAGGGGTATTAGACATGCCAGAAAATGATGGCTTGCTGGAACCTGCCAAAGCAATCTGGCACTAACCTACTGTTGCTGCAGCCATCTCCTAGGAAGCAGACAGAAATTATTAAAGCTTTGTTAATGGATCTGCGTATTTTTGTTCTCATCTTGCACCTGTCTCGTTGGTTGTGCAAACTGATCAGCATAGAACAAAGCAGCACAGTCCTCCAGGACCCATTCTGAGAGGAAAAAATCTCAAAGACTGGACCTGGTTGGCAAAAGGAATGTTTATCAGTCCGCCAGTAAAAGACAGAAGTAAATTAGCAAGCTGTGTTTTCCAAGTAAATGACAGTCTAAATTGTCCAAGGAGTAACAAACAGGAATTTAAACTGCTTGGCAGTAATCACTGTCAGTCCTGAGGATCTGCTTTTCCTCATATCTTTGAGCCTTCACTTGGTGTCTCTGTAGACACTCTTCCAAGTGAGCAGCTCTCTGCATTTTCTAAGGTTGTAGTTTCCCAGTTTACCAACTGTACTTGAAAAATTTCTTCAGGATATGAGTTAAGTGCAGAGACAACAAAGAGTTTCTTCAGACAAAAATATTAAATGGCAATTGGAAAGGGAATACATACAATTGGGGAAAAAAAAAAAAAAAAAAAAAGAAAGGAAAAACCACTTTGTCTTACCTAGAATAGTATTTTCCTCAAAACTTATGTAGGGCTATTATTTAACTTTTTTCCTCAGGAGGTGCTTGTGTTCAGCTGCAACAAAGACAAAACTGCACCAGAAGTTGACATTGTCTTATCAGTTGAAATCCAAAAATAGAGTTTTTTAAAGGCCTTTGACTTTTTGTTCCTGTGGCACCTGTGTAACCAGCAAACGTGATAGTAACCAGCAAGCAATGATATATGGCATTCAGAGCATTTAGAGAACCTAATACCTGTATTTTTCTCTGGGTTTTACTCCAATACCATTGCAAGCTAAAATGAAGACTGATAGAACAATGCACTACAACAATCCTGAAAACAATTCCATGCTTTCACTCACCTAGAATATATTAGGGAATTACAGCGGAGTCCTGCAGAACATCAGTGACATTTTCAGGCAGTAATTTTGAATGGTTTTGATTGTGTCAGGTTGGCAGAAGTTTGTCCTCTACCTCAGAAGGTGAACTATAATGTCTTAGAAGAATCACTTGGGAAAAAAAGAAAAAAGAAAAAAGCACTCGAAGGATAAATAAGAATAAAAAGAAATATGTAAGTCTGTGCTCAGTCTTTGAAGACCTGGTTTTGGAGTCATCCTTAGTTAGGTTCTGACAATTTTAAAATTATATATATATATATTAATTTTTAAAAAAGAAGAAGTAAAACACATATTGTTATAGTATATGAGTATCAAAGACTTGTTGACTCTTAGCGTTCTCTCTGTTTTGCAGTACGTTTCCCAGGAATCAAAACATATATTGATCCAGACACATATGAAGACCCATCCCTTGCTGTCCATGAATTTGCAAAGGAGATAGATCCTTCAAGAATTCGTATTGAGAGAGTTATTGGGGCAGGTAAAAGCATAAACACTCAAAAGCTATGCATGATAGGACTGTTTTTCTGAAGTTGCTATGATAATGCAAGTAGACAAGTAGTACAAATGTGGGCATACTTCACTGATGGACCACTGTATTCTCAAGTATCACTCAGCTTCTGATCTAAAGTTGTATCAGCAGTTTTCCTGCACTGTTGCTGCTAAGGATCTCCGTGTGCTTATTCTCCCATGCAGCTCAGATGCTTCAACAAGCTTGTGGAGTTCTGGTACAGATAGACTTTCTAAATAGATTGGAAAACAATGAGGAAGATAAAATATGATACAATTAGCATTAGTACTACTGTGCTTTTCTATTTAGAAAAGAAACAATAAGAAAACATATGTAATCAAACGTTATCCATATATATTCTCTCAGAGTTTAGTACTCATTGGGTTTTGTGCTTCTGGAAAGTCCCTAATGGAGCTATTCTCTAAGAACTGTTACACTCCTTCTTCTGACCCTCTCTGTCGTTCTGTCTTTGCAGTGTTATATGAGTTTTATGCACTATGAAAATGTAGTAATTCTTATTTTGTTTGAATTTGCTGTATGATTGACCCAGCCCACTGAGCTCTCCTTTCTCTTTAAAGGAATGTTTGACACAGATATTAGATTTCCTTACAGAGAAGAAAAACTTGTAAAGAGAAGAGTCTTGCAAAATCATTTCTTTTAACTTGTGTTCTGAAACTCTAGGACATGCGGCATGTCATTATTGACCAATTGAGATTGTTTACTGACTGTTTTACTTTGTTGTTTGAGGACCTAGAGAGTATAGGCTCAGATAGGTTCTTAAGAGGTTCTAAAACTAGTAGATCTCAGTACGTGCCTTCTGACCAACAGGTCATCATTCAGAATGTCCACCACCATTTCTCACTGTTAGAACAAATCAAAACAAAAGAGATTGACAGGAGAATCTGGAGTTCTCTGTCCTGCTTACATCCTCAGTGTTGTTGCCTGAACACTGTCCGTGGCTGAGAAATATTAATCTATACTGAGTCACTGAAATTCTGAGCCCCGATTCCATCTCTGATACTTCTTTTCTGCTTGTGAATTAACCCTCTGTGTGTCTACAATTTACAAAATATGGTTATTTCTCTCCATCAGTAGGATACTGTTAGCAGTGACTGAGTTTTGTAAATCGCTGTCTTACAGATACTTACAATACTAACTACAAACATTCTAGTAAGAATTAGTACAATCCAGATTTCATTGTCCATCTTTGAGCTACCTGTTCTTGGCCTGTTCTTTAACAATACTGCTTTTTACTTACTAAATGAATAGCCTCATAAAAACTCTGGGTTTTTGTTGTTGTTGTTGTTTGATTTTTATTTTTTTTTACTTTTTTACTTATTCTAATTGTAATGCCATCAAGAAAAAAAATATATTCAAAGTACAGCAGGAAGCTAAACTCAGTTAAACCTTGTGGAAGTGTGACAGTGGTTAAAAAAGAATAAAAATTAAAGGCTGTAATTCTGTAATTTGTTCATAGTGAGCCTGTCATAGGACTGCTAACTGGTATTGTCAGGGAAATTATTATCAAAATACATAATACACTGTGACTCTTCTTTTTTATCGTGGCTTCATATGTTTTAGTCACTTAGGAAGAGAGAGGTATCTTTCAGTTGAGGTCCCTCATTTAATGGTACATTACTACGCTGGTTACAAACTGCGCTGCTAAAGGTGTTTCATGCCGTAGGAGATGTCATGAAAATAAACGCATATAACGTGGTAGACATAAAATCTGGTCTGTTAACAAGCAGAGGAGAGAAGTACTGACTTGAAAGTAAGAGAGAAAAATATGTTTCTTCCTGAATTCCATACAGCAAGAGTACTACAGAGTATACTTGATTGTTTAAGAGAGATAATGTGTATCTAATGTGTAGCTGGCACTGTGCACCATATGAGTTATTAGCGTAAGCCCTTAGAGGGCTGACTTTTGCAGAAAACATTATATTTGATTTCTTCTGTTTCTTCCTTTTCTCCAGAGATACTATACATACTGATTACAAAGCATATTGAAAGACCTTCAGCACTGAAATGTCTGCTGATTTCAAAGGAGAATATGACAGAGGAGGGTTGGGCGTATCAATTTTTGTTCAGATGAAAATTGTGTCCTTATTCTCAACTTAACTCATTTATGAAAATTCCTTATTCAGTATCTCTATCTCTCTTGTTGTAAGTCCAGGAGTGATTTTTTGTCTGCTTTGACATATTTTATTTTTATTTATTTAATCTTATAAAATTACTGAATAATCTGCCATCTTCAAAGGTATTTGCCTGGTAGGACTTGCGAACTATTTCAGATGAAATTTAAACCCAGTTTCATGCAGGCAAGATACAGGTTAAATATTGTTTCTAAGGCAGGGAGACTACAAATTCTCACAAATTCTATCTTGGATAGCTGCTAGGGGACATATCATACTATTGTAATTCACAGCAGTCATGGTGCTTCCCTTATGCTTTCTCTGATTCTGTACCAAACTTTGTAACCATGTGTAAAATAGGCTTCTCATCCCAGAAGAATTACTTCTAAAATATTTTTACGATTTTCAGATTAGTGAAAAAAATAAAGTATTTTACCAAATGAATCAATATTAATGATAAAACTCTTTAAATTAATAATTGAATTAATATAGTTCTTAGAGCAGCACTTTTTGATCAACTTATTTTGATTAAAAATTTTCATTGTGAATTTCTGTAATTTTTGGAAACAGAAACTTTTTCCATTTAAGAACTAAAAGCTTTTCTTTTGCAAAATATCAGATTGAAACACTGCAAATATTCAATTTTTTTCATAGATTGTTTGGATAGAAAAATTTGAAACTGATGTTTTCCTGCAAGTAGTTTCGAGTTTACTTTTGTAATACAAAAATTCATGTCCAAAAATCCCTTTGCAATTCACTAGTTCCATAGCAGATGGCTTTGACACTCAAGACAAGATTTTTCATCGCTAGAGCTATCAGACATAATAGCCAAAATAGAAAGAGCAAAGCAGCAACAAGTTAAAAAATGCTGCTGAGCCCATGAGACTTCTTACTTTGAGAAAAGAAAAATAATAATCTCTTGCTAAAATCCTTTCAAGTAATCCTAGTGGAATTTACCAAGCTGATGTTTTTGAACACAACCACTACATTCCATGGTGGCAGATAATTGAGCCTTTTACTTCAATTCCAGTACTCCCCTTTGTCATGCTTTCAGTATTCCAGTACATTTACAAACTCCAAATTACTGTCCTTCCTTCTGGTACTTTGGTGTAAATAAACCAATTAAAATACAAGCTTTGCAAAATCCTTTCTAAATTGTTCACCGTTTGTCACAGGAGAGTATGAAGATCTGCATTAAAGTAACAAAACTGTACCTCAATGCATACTCAAGCTGGCAACCTAGTCAGGCTCCCCATAATCCCATTCACTGCTACCTTACATCTGGATTCTCTGAAAAGCTAAATTAAAGCTAGTGTTAGCTAAGCTAAATACTTTGTAAACACTTAGTGAGCACCTATAAATGTGCTTAGCTTTCATTTCCCATGGTGATATCAACCAAATAAACAAGAGCTAATGAAGTCCACAATCTAGCAATAGTTGCTGTTTAAAATGTGAAGTTGATTAGTCAATTTCCTTTTATTACATCCTCTACTTACAGCAAAATTTTACTGTTGTTTAATTTCATAATGCATATTCTTGGTTTCAAAACACTTGGTAAGGTTTTTTTTATCCTTAGTATTAAATATTCCATTATACTCCCAATTCCCACAGTTCCCACAGTTTGCCCTTCTTTGCTGTAGATTTTTCTCCAGATTATCCCATTCAGCCTCACTTTGTATTGAGCTCATTGCACCTACTGACATGCAATGACATCCTTTGGTTTTGTCCTATATGTGACGCTTTTTTTACCCCAGACATCTTGCTCTTAAGTTTAAATCTTCAGCCAGTCTTCTTAAAAGGAATTCCCAGACATTCTTTGTCAAGTCTCTATTAAAAGTGACACTTATCCTTGTATTTTCTTTATTCTGTCAATTTTCCCAAAGGTCTAATGACTGAAAGTGTGGGAAATGACTTGAGCTATATTTGGTGCTATAACCTTTCAGTTCTATCAACAGCGATTATGTATTGTAAGATATTTGTTTTGATCTCATGCAGTAATACAAGAATGCATATAAGGCTTTGAAGTAGACTGACTACTCCTGTTTCACTTTAAATAACATGTATTTTGTGACAAGGAGAGAAAAGGAATGTGTGGCTTCCATAAGGCAAGTCTCTGGAGTGCTCAATTAGCTTATTTTTGCATGACTTACAGTAAGACATATCAGTTTTATACCATTAAAACACATGCTATTAAAACTGAGCACACAATGAACTCTGTTGTTTTCTCTAGTTACTGACAGCTTTTTCTGTGGAGCAAGAAATAACAGTCACTTCATTGACACCTGGCTCTTAGCTTCTACTTATACTATACACAAATACCTTTACTGTTGCAAAGGTAGAATTTGTCTTGATTATCTCCACAAAATCACAGAATCATTGGGGTGAAAGGGACCTCTGGAGATTACTGCTGAAACATTTCTCGACAGCAGGGTGCCCAGGACAGCACTCAGGATGCTCTTGAACATCTCCAGAGAAGGAGACTTCACCACCTTTCTTGTGACAGCGCTATGTCATTCTCACATGTAAAGCAGTTTTCCTCACGTTCAGAAGGAAATTCCTATTTCCATTTCTGCTCATTGCTTCTTCTGTTGCTGTGATTCTATGATTCTGTCTCATTCAAAACATTCAGGATTCGTGATTTTGTTTTGTAGTAGGATTCTGGAAGTTCAGGTCATCTACTGTTTTCTCAAGTGTCACATGCAGGCAGACTGACAAAGGGGATAAATATCTATAAAATTCCCTGCCCAGCTTCCCCTTTTGTCAAGATTCTCAGAGCATAAGTCTTGTGACATTATTTTCATATACATAACATATCTTTAGGAAACAAACTTTTATTTTCAAAAATTAGATAAACACAAAAGAAATAGGTAGGAAGGAGACCTAGGAAACTTGGCTTTTGTTAGAATATGCTAATTTATTCAAAGGTTATGTTCAGCATCTGTTAATTACACTCATGCACTTCTGTGATATCTCTGTTTTGAAGCAAATGACAAGCTATGAAGTGGGTGGTTTTTTTTAAATCCCTCCACTGTTCCTGAATCTTACTAGGTCGTAAAACCTGTTTTATTTTGTAATGGAAGTGACAGAGCCTAATAAAATAAAGACTTTGTGACAATATTCATTCTCATCTTATAATATCAGGCAGTTACAATTTTCTGAAGTGGGACTTCTAATCAATCCTTTCTCTTCTGTATTTGGTTTATATCTAATCACACTCTTATAGGATAGAGCTCTCTTATATTCCTTCATTCTGTAGTTAACCTTTAAGGAAAACTAGTTCCCACATCACTTACTACAGTTTATAACAAATTATATCCTCCAGATAAATGTAGGTCTTCTTATGACTCTTTTTGTTTTTCAGCAATTTTGATTCCAAAATGGCTGGGGTATCAAATTTGATTTTGCTGTGGAAATACCCTGCAACTGATAAGTGCTTTGACACATTCTTATAAACATTGTTTTTGATTTATTGAATTATGACCCATTGAAACCTGACCTGCAGACATCCAGAGAATATTTGGTATGGGATTTAAATAACTTCTGAGTTGCTCCAAGATCAAAGAAAAGTTCTGACTTCCATACAAACTTAACTAGTAAATGTGTAAAGGGAATACAAGAAGATGTGCTTTCTTCAATGGCCCTTTCTTACACAGAACATCAGTTGAAGCAAGCTTTGGGATTCCTCTCACTACACAAGAATCCTGATTTACTGAAACTGTTGTCCTTTGACTGTCCAAACAGTGACATAGGCGATTAGTTTCATGTAAGCAATAAAGCCATTTAAATAAATCATATGGAAGTGCTCTTCTGGGCAAAATAGAAGTACATTTTTAAGTGCTTTCTACAACTGAAAGCCAGATATTCTGATATTGTTATGGCATTTGTATTCATATATGTGTTAATACCACGTCCGTCTCAAATATCTGCAGAAAGGTATTTCGTCATCATTACAATTAAAATCTAACCATCATTACATTATTTCCTCATAGCATGCTCATTTAGATCACAAAGACTTTGATACCAAAGTTTGGTTTCAAAGTCTCAGTTAAGGAGGATAAACTATGCGATGTAGAGCAGACGATTAGACTGCTGCAGTCCCCATGATCTCGGGGTAGTGGCACCAATGAATGTTGTCACTCATGAACTTGAATATCCAATCCTCTATTTTTATTGAGAAGAAAAGTATCTAGTTCTATGGGCTGTGCAAGTCTTGGGTATTTTTGTGTTCTAGTTTTCTTGATGGCTACAAATAACATAGAGTTATTAAAAAGGACAATTTATAAGACAACTATTGAAGGTTAATTTTAAAAAAAAAGTTGTTTCTGCTCACTAGTGCAAATGGTTCCTTAGGCATTGTGAATGATCTAACATTTTTTCTACTTAAGGTGAATTTGGGGAAGTATGCAGTGGACGTCTGAAGACACCAGGAAAAAGAGAGATACCTGTTGCAATTAAAACTCTGAAAGGTGGTTACATGGACAGGCAAAGAAGAGATTTCCTGAGAGAAGCTAGTATAATGGGTCAGTTTGATCACCCAAATATAATTCGTCTTGAAGGAGTTGTTACAAAAAGTAAGTTACTATAATATACTATATAATATACTATAAGTAGCTTTTCCTTGGTTTTCCCATTCTGTGTCTTCTAGTATCAATATTAAGAATTCTACAGTTGATACAGGTTGCAGTATTCAGAAAATACGTAAATCCTAGGGACATCAGGTACTGCATAGTTTGAGAGCACAGTGAGAAATACACAGCCTATCTGTTTTCAATTAGAAATGTGTTGGTTATTCTAGCTTGGTTTGATTTTTTTAACTAAAAATCCTCCTCATTCAAATAAAATTGTTACAGTTTTATTTGAAACAGCATTGCAGAGTTTGCCTAGGGGCAAATGGAATTCAGTAGAAAGAACCACCAATGTAACTGAGTTAACAGTGAGGTCAATTCAGCCTGTAGTGTTTCTAAGATAGCTAGCAGCCGTATTGTTCCTCTCCCACACTCACTGATTCTTCAGTTGAATTTTGCTCATTTTGGTACCAGAAGAGATCAAATTGCTATTTTAAATAAATAAAAATACAAACAATTTTAAACTTACTGCACACTTTCAAATGATTTACTAAAATTCCAGAATAGTCTATGAAAATGTCTTACATTGCAATTGCCAAGAGGCTAACAATCTCTTTGACATCTAGCATTTTTTATCTGAGTTTTAACTTTTTTATGAAATACTGAAAAACGTAAGTATTATATGAAGGTCTTATTAACGTGCAAGTAATTTCTTTAATGCTGACTTTTTGCTGTATTTTATGCTAAAGCTCAGAAGGCATTTTCTTCTTGTAATTAATCATTGCCTCAACCCAGCTATGTTGTTTGCCGATTTGGAATGCTTTCTTGTATTTCTCTTTTAAAACGTTGCAGAATGTATCAAGAGGAAGTTTTTGTGTGTGTAAGACAATGATGCCCTCTTTCCTTCACAGTAGATACAAAGAATACAAATATTTCTTATTTTCACCTTGTTACAGTATCTAAATTATGTTTGAAAAACACAGCATACTAGAGCACAAAGGAAATTGCATCTCCTGAACTCATGTCCCTGGAATGGAAATTCAGTAGAGTTAAGGGATGACCTTGTGAAAATCTGTCTCTCTGGTTCTAAATTAAGATGAAGAAGATCAATTTGTTCTTCTTCACGCAGTATTGCAAGAATAAATTCATTATTGTTTAGGAATGCATGGTTATTAGACTAACAAAATCCATTATGCTGCTCGCTTCTGGAAAGATATGGCTTAGTCTCCATTGCTCTCCTGTCAGTAGCTGTTCTGCTGACAGCAGACAAGAGCACAAGTTAATGCTGACTGAGCAGCATTGGATATCTTTGTTGGGATGCGTAAATACATTGAAGCCAAACTGAACTTAGCTCCTTGATTCATAATGAGAAATATAACATCAATTAGAATTTCACCAGCCATCACTAGTTTCACACGTGTGACCAAAATCCATGTGGTAAATGTAGCAATGTGTCTCATCTCCGAAAAATTCTAAAGGCCTTAATTTATGAACACTGTTTAAATCCAATTAGTCGGTGCACACAGCCTCCAGAATAATGTACTTGGCAATGGCATGGTTGTTTAATCTCTGCCACATTTATAAATTTTCTTTCTGTAATGCCTCATCATCAGTCCAGAGAGAAATGCAAATTGCATTAAGAAAACAGAAACAAACAGATAAATCAATGCTACAGTGTTGGCCTGTTTGTTCCTGTTCTACAGGAAAAATGGTTATAGACAACCTTAAGTCAAGAAGTCATCGTTAGTAGTTGTGCTTTTCTCTCTGGGTTCAACACACTATTATTTTTTTGGGAATGTTTGCTTAGACGTAACATAACAATATAGATGTAACTGTTGTAGTTATATTGAACTCTCAGATGTAAAAGAAAAACTTTGAAAGCAAATGTGGTTTAGGTAGGGCAGGTTTAAAACAACAATTATACAACAATAATTATAGAGTGAAAAGAATACACAAGGTATCAGATTTCACCCTAAGAGCTGGAAAGTGCAAATTATATAAAATGTGAAGTACTAAGTTGCGCAGTACTGCTTTGCTGCAGAGAACAAGTTAGGAGGCAAGCTGAGCAATGGGCACATGCACTCTAGTATGCTTCTCTTTTGCTTTAATACTGCTCTACTTGTGGTAGTTAGAGAATGACATGTCCTTATCTGGGAACAAAGTAATATCTCTCTAAATGCTGATTCTAAGACTGTAAAAGCAAACTAGGGACAGAAGTTTCCAATGACTAAAAGGGATGCTATAAAAGTCAGACAGAACCTTGTCCTAGCCAAATTATTTATGCAATGACAGCATAATTAAAAGTTGTTTTGTGTTAAAACTTAGATTAATACTAGCAAAAACTCTTTAAGTGATGTGCATTACAGTTCCACTAAACTATAAAGGCATATTGGATACAGTAACTTTGATTAATAGAAGTGTAATGCTGTTCTTAGCACACGCTTTCCTCTTTATAACTGTTAGTCATTAACTTCTAGCTGCTGCTAATATATATTGCATCAGTTTGTAAGCAGTACCTTCCATTACAGTGTCATTGACTACTGAACAAAAAAGAAAAGGATTTGATTGTGATAAACAGAAATGCTCTACCAAATCAATAGCTATTGACTGGGGCAATAATGAATTTGTCTGTTCATTACAAACGTGAGCTCTTATCCAGTGCTACCAGCTCAGCAAATGTGAACTTCTAAAAGATACTGTTTCCAAAATTGCTCTGGAATATGTACTGTATACAGCAAAAAATGCTAACCTAAGCTTTCTCAAAAGTAGATCTTCAACAGAATTTTAATCCTCTTTTCTAATTGCATTTGTCCTAACTGAGAACCCTAATTGCAGAGAAACATTGCTGTAGTGCAAGCTCTTGGCTAACAAAGTTCATTTCAAGGACAGTTTGCTAGGCCAAGGCAAACACGTCGTAGCACAGAATCTGGATCAAGTAGTTCACTCATTTTTACTAATCAGAAACCACAAAGGAATCTTTATTCCTCTTTGCTTATTTTACCAGCTCCGCTCCTTTCATGGTTTGCCATAAAGGGACACTAATTGCCTTGCAAATTGATTGGAGGTGCTTACGCACATTACAAAAGCATTCATGTTTCTCTTTCAAATCGCATCTGTACACTGGTAATTTTAGGAGCTCTTCTTAGGTGTCCCATGGTATGTTCCACCAAGCTGTGCATCACTGTCCAATACTGCTGCACTTTCATGGACAAATAGAAGAAAAATAAAATTTCATTTTCCAGTGCAAACACTTGTAACCAATGCTGATACCTGGGCTACAGAAAAATAAGATGCATCTTCCGTATATACACAGTGTTGAAGTTTATATTGCAGACTTCCCATGAAAAGTTTGTGTAGTAAATACAAGCTATGTTTACAGCAAACATCTGTCGGTATCACTATAGCAAAAGACAAATGAAAAAAATAATCTCTGACTATCGTCACTGTGCTGAAAGAACTCATTGGGGTAGATAGAGCCAGCCAAACAGGAAACCGTGGAGAGTTGACCTTGATTTCACCCTACACAATAGTTCAAAGCATAGTCTTGTCAGTTCTGTGTAGTTCTGTGTCAGAACAAAGTGTAAGTCCATGCAAGTTCTTTATTGTAGTCATAATCTTAGTTTGCTCCTCTCCACCCCAGACTTCACCCCAAATAACTCACAATTGTTAACATTCATTTCTAAGGAATTGCTTTGGTTTTCAAACTCCATATAATGAACTCACACACATCACTTTGACAAGTAGCATCTTTTTAAAACACTAATTTTCTCTAGTAACAATATGTATATTATTTTTTTCAGGCAAGTTTTCAAATTAGCCCTTCACAAAAGGAGCAGGACTGAAGGTAGCTCCTAGATTTTTGGTTCTGAGTAAGCTTACATCCTCTTGAGTCTGGCGTTGGAGTGAATATTTTCATCTCCTTAGTTCTCTTCTGACTTTTGCTTCAGTGATGTTCAAATTGTGATTGCTATTGCAGTTCTGAAATCTTTTGTCAGTCATTTGACAGATTAAATTCAAAGTCTTAATCATAGAGCTTCTCTTTAAATTACTGTGTATAATGTGTTTAGCAGAAGAGTCTTGAGGTCCATGCGCCTTGTTCTTCTTATCCATGAGAAAGGCAAAGTGCAACATGATCCTATTTCACTGTAATTTACAACTCTTCATATCCAACTTGTTCTTCATATTTCAAAAGAGCAGGAGAAATCAAGTAATTTTTTTAAGCATTTTTTTTAGTCTCTTTTTTCCCTTAGTGCAATAAAATGTAATATTGTTCCTTTCTCCCACATATTAGCTGTCTGAGATTCTTAAAAAGACCTCAGAATTCATTTGGAAAGATGACATATTTTGCAGTATGTGTTTATTATAGAAGGCATTGTACGTTTGACTGTTGTGCAAAAGGATTGTGGAAAATTCATGGCAGTGTTTGTAACTTTCTTACATTGGTCGTGAATTTGTACATCCAGGAAGCATTACTGTGTTCGGCTTGTTGACAACTTAGCGTTTGAGACTATTTGAAGATGGCTATATCATGATAGCTTGCAAAATTTGATTAGGATTATTCAAGAGAACGTCACTGACTTCTGAAAAGTCTAAACTTCAGAATGAGCAGAAAATATGCAGTGTTAGTAAGTTCCACATTAATGTTATTGCCTTGGTTACAAACTACAGTGTAAGCAATTTTGGATGTTGACATTTGCCACTGTCGCTAATCTTGGTACATTGCTGAGGCATCACTGGCATCTCCAGGCATAGATGTGTGTGTTGGAGGCCAAAACAGCCTCAAATCCATCCCTTGAAACCAGGTCTTGCACTGAGAGGCACTTGCACTTGCCTTATGAAGCAGATAAGCCCAGCAGGGTATCAAGGCTTTATTCACCCCTGAATGTATTCCATTGTGGATGTGGACCATATAGTATGATGCAGAGTGATAGTGAGAGCTTTGCTGTATAGTATTAGCCAGTGAGCTTTGTATGGCATTAGACATAGAGCTTAATTTGTCTGATCAA